TATATGGAATTGAACGAAAATGAAAATTTGCTTGATAATTCAACTACGCTTGTTGGAGAACAATAAAAACACTACACTCAACAAGCCACCAATAAAACTCAACTGCCTAACCTATAACCAAAGTCTCCTTTTAATTTGTTTTTTAAAAAAAGCGCTTGACAAACTTGCCCCGCATGCCGAAGCTGCCCCGGTCTCCCCTATATATATATGGGAGCTTTGAACAATAGATACAAGTAGCAAGAGACTAACTTGTCCCAAACGAGCGTGAAATCATGACAACTGGACCTTTCAAGAGAGAGGGATTACACAGATTTGGATGGTGAGAAATACTTTAATAATTGGGCTGGGTTTTGTTTCTTCTAATGCTATGAGAATCATTCCTAAAATCGGCACTTTCCGTACAGATTAATTATCATCATTTTCTAATGATTAGTCCTTAGATAATTCACGGGTTTCTCAACAGATGAGATTTTGGCTATAGATGATCTCCAGTTAAGTTTTCTCTTCAATGAGTGGGCAGTGTAAAAGCGTATACTGTATTTTAACTTAAAAATATGATTAAAAATTGCAGCCTGGCATTGTGACAATATCACAATAATTTTTATTCATTTTATTACGTTCTTTTATGCAGAATTTAAGAAGGTAATTAGGCTATATTAATTAAGTATACAGTATATGTAATAAACTTGTATACAATGCACAAAGAATGTAGTTTGCTGTTAATGTAAAAAAAAATCCAGCAACGAGTTGCATACATTTTCCGGGCAACAAGATTTAAAACTGCGTGTGGTGCCATCTGTTAAAATATTTTATTAAAATTTTTTTTTATATAATTAATTATTATAAATTGATAAAAGAGCTTAATTTTAAGAATAGGTATGGGTTTTATAAAAACTTATAAATGCTAGTAACGAGTAAAATCGTCATTAAGTTTGACCCTACTCGAGATACTAACGGTCTCCATTATCTCCCCACTCCCTCGACCTTTAATCACCAAAATTTAAACGCATCTATCTTTCTAATAAGCAAACCTCCCTGCGAAATTACAGAAATTTTGGACAAAAAGCATGGGAGTTATTAAGCTTCAAACAGGGTGAACAATATCGTACCCTACTACACTTACATCCGCACATTCAAAAAAAACGTAGAGAAATGCAAAACAAATTCGAAATTATTCCCGAATTTGTTTTGCATTTCTCTACGTTTCAAGGTGTCGTGAAGTCCGAAAACGTAAAAATCTTGAAGGATCATTTTTGACCGATCGCTATACTTTTTCTCTGTAACATATAACAGCCGAGAAAGTAAGAAAATTAAGTGTTTAAATTGTGAAGAAAATCTATTCAACAATTACGTAATTATCGCAAATAAACACTTTAAAATCCACTAAAATCTACATTTATCACAGCAGATGGCGACACATTGCTAGATGCACTAATACGACACCTATAGTTTTTAATTTTAAAATTACCACACCAATGGTAGCTTTCAAAATGGTAATTCGGTCTTTTTCGAAAATGGACATCTTATGGGCAATATGACAGATTTATGTACAAAATACACGTATAAATTGTTCACTAAAACTATTCAAGTAATTATGCTTTGAATATGTACTTTGTTAATTTGAATAAAATTTGTAATTATTTCCGTTATACGTATCCAACACACAACTATTTAATGTCAGTAAATAAAGGTGTACGTTTTATCGATTAAATACATTAGTTTTGTATATATTTTTCAATTAAACTGAAATAATTTTATAATTAAGGGAGTCATTTTATGCTGTGCTTCGATTGATTTAAAAATTTACAAACATGTTATTTGGTGTGTCATTAAAAAAATTAACATCGTATCGTTAGCCATCCATGCGTGCAATGGAATAAATACTTAAAATATTATAGCCTTTTACACCGTTTTTCAAAAAAAATTCATTATTCTTAATATGCAATAAATCATTTTAATTTTAAACTTAGTACAAAAAGTTTACGATAAAGATACAAAGTGAAAATAAATAAGTAATTAAAGTTTCCCCTCACCTTTCCTTAAAATAAAATTGTCGATTATCCAAATATGTTTTTATAAAAAATTTTAATTGAAAACTTAAATTTATTTAAACGTAAATGAATTATTAAAGATATAATTTCTACAAATATAATGACACAATGCGTAGCTGCTAACATATTTGTTGTTTTATTCACATGAAGGTAATTCTAGTTACTCGCTACTTTACTTATTCGCGATTAGAAAGTTACGACCATCCAAAGGACAATTAGTAAACATTTTTAATATCCGCGAATTTCTTTTACAATATTTCAAATATAATACATATTTGTAAAAAGTATTCTGTTATCTCCAGGGCTGTGGAGTCGGAGTCGGAGTCGTGGAGTTTTGGTGTTTTAGCCGGAGTCGGAGTCGGATGGTAAGGAAAAGTCGGAGTCGGAGTTGGAGTCGGTAGATTTTTACGCGACTCCACAGCCCTGGTTATCTCCGATTTTTACACTTTTTAATAAAGTCAAGCAAAATACAATAACTACTGTTATACTATACTTAAGTCATCGTAGTACAGCAACAAACCTGACAAAATTTAGTAATTGCCTACTCCAACACAATAATAATAATAACAATTCCATATCAATAAAAGTTGGCAAAGAATGTAGGAGGTGAGGGGTTTTAGCACATTTAGTTATAAGAAGCTGAGAACATACTCCATACCGAAAAGATTTAGAATCCACGGATGACGAACTAAACAACGAAAATGAACAGGAGAAACGGCAATATTCACAATGAAAGCTTCTAAGCTTTCAAAAATTGTACCATTGATAGCGTGTGCAAGAAGTTACAAGAACCAGACCATATTGCTTACCATAGTGTTGCTGAAGTCTTAAAGGACATTAATATAAAAGCCCATCAAACATTATTAACTGAGTTTTTCCAAATTGTTTCACTCCTCAACAATCCTCTTAAAATGTAAGACTAATAATTAATATAATTAAACATATGATTAAAAAAACATTAATTAGTTTATTAGCTTATTGAATCATCTGCAAAAGTTTAAGTATTTTCGAGACAGAAACATGCTTCAGTTCAACAATTTTGGCTCAATCCACAGAAACCTAATTCGACCTTCTTTTTGGTGTTGCAGAAACTTCCAAAAACATAACCATCTCGAATACAGATAGTTATACGCTTTCAAAAGAGAAAGAACACGAATATTCATCTTATACGACATTTATGTTGCTATTTCTGAAACTGAAAAACCGACATTTGTATGCCCATCAATTGTATTAAGGTTTTTACTCCGTTTCTTTCTGTCGCATATTTTCAATTTGACGTGATTCAACGTGGATAGAAGAACTGGCAAAAATATCAGAGCATTAATGGCGGAAAATAAAATAACCATAAAAATTATTTTAAAAGTCGCAACAAATATATAAGCCAAAGGAATGGCTAAAGGTGACACGGCGATTATTGTTGTTGCACTACCTTGAAATATTGCGTATCCGATAGAATTTATACTATGACGAAGACGTTCATTGGGATCTTCACTGTCACAGTGTCTATAGGCATGAGCTATATGAGCAGAATAATCGACCGAGAAACCAGCGCACATGACTAAAACGATTATAGACACTGCTGACAATTCGACATCCCACAGAGCCATGTAACCCAAGGTGGAAATTTCTATAGTAATAATGGAAAGACCAACCGAAAACATGACAACGATATCTGGTATAAGAACGAAACAAACAATAACTACGATGATAACCACACTACTCAACAATTGCACAGTAAATTTTACATGCAATTCAATGCTATCGGCCCAATAGGACAAAAAGTGATACGAAAATGCTTTAAAAGGCATTTTTTCAGTGAGTTTCCTCATGTTTATAAACACTAAAGGAAACGATTTCTCAGTAGTAAAATTAGACTGACAAAGAAATCTGCTTCCCACGATAGCTGAGTAATTAGAGTTGAATGCAATATCATTACGAAATCGTCGTGCAGAAGGATGACGAAGAAAAACACTGCGCAAAATTGAGATAAAATCCTTCGTATCACTTATGTTAAATGATTGTACAGATAATGAGATTCTTCGGTCCTTGAGGAATTTCAAATAAAATCTGAGCCACGACTCAGTAAGAAAATTTGCAATTAATCCTTTTCTCTCCATTTCTGAAAAAAAATTCTCTATTTCATTCTGAATTTGTACATCTGCGTAATTTATTTCTTGATCGATAATGATTTGAAATCTGTATTCGTAGTGATTGAAATTGTTTAAAAATTGTTTATAATATTGTATATAATATGAATCATATGTCGCCGAATGCGAATGTGAACCGAAAATATGGGTGAAAGTCAAGCCCCAGAGTGCCACAACAACGTACCCGGCGATGATGAAGAAAATAGCTATTTTCACGTACCAAATTGATAAAATATAACCGAATCGAATGAAAATTGATGACGTAGGAGCAACGTTATTTTTCGTAGATTTCCAAGATTGAGTAGAAAATAGAAACTTTCGAATCCAAGAACGGTTTTCTGTAAACAAATAAATAAATAACTATATATTATATACACTGTTGCTATTCTCAATAGTAATGTAGAAAGATGCATTATGTTATTCTTACCTTTCTGAGTATTTATTTTTGTAAAGAATAAAGAATGTCTTCCTTGTTTCTCCACATATCCAAAAACTGCCATGCATGCACCAACGAACGTTATCTGATAAACGTAACAGAAGATAACAGCAATAGAAGCGTATAAGCAAAAATAAGATATGGCTCTGAAAGGGGTGAACAGTCCTGAAGTGAAGGCTATGAAATTCGTTACTGAAGTTACGGTAACAGAAATGGCGGATTCCGAATAAACTTCTGAGAGTCTTTCCGGTACGGTCTTCTGTGGGTCGGTTTTTTTCCACGCAGCTAAAAAGATAAAGGCGTCGTCCATGCCTATACCTGAAACAAAATCTATTGCTTTGAAAACCGGAAATTTGTACAGCAAATGTCATAAATAGTACGGAGTTATTTCATTTAAAATGAAATGTTCTTTAAATCAAAAATTTATCTATAAGTGTCTATATTTAGTTAAAATTATTTTGACTTAGAAATAGCGAGACCTGGGTAGGTTTCTAAAGGTAATTATCTCGCCACTTTTCAATTTCACAGCAGTTATTAATATACAGATTCGGAATTTCAATTTAAGGCTGGTAATTTCTATTTAGTTACACGTATTTAGTGCATTATATTTAAATTCCATATTCGCTATTCGGTATTTGCACCGATTTTTAATATTTAACGAAGCTAAAATTTGCTCATTAACAAGACTAACAAATATAATAAAATAATTTTATAATGGGCAATATTACGATTTTTATTGTTTTTGTCTTAAACTTGTTTTAATGCATTTTGTGTTTCTGACAGAAAGATTGCGTTAGAAAGCGACTGAAAGCGTTACTTAAAAATATTACGTGGTATCTAAAAACCTCTTCTTGCGCAGATAATAACATTCTGTTCAATATATTGCTAGAATTCTCATGATATTCTCGCATTTTGTTCAACTTTTAACGTGATTTAGTGCTCTTGGTGCGATCAGAGGCCAATCGGCTATCAGGGCTTTTTAAACTCTGGGTCGCGACCCCAAATGGGGTCGCTTAGCGAAATCTTGGGGTCGCAACATTTTAATGAAAAATATTGAAAATAATTTGTGAGAGTTTGAAAATGGCAAGCTTTGTGCAATAGGTTTTGTGAGTTGCGCTTTGTGTCACTTCTGGTGCAGCGAGACAACAATTCAGCAACACTGTAGTGTGAACTATTGTAGTATTGTTGCTTTTCAGTGTATTCAATTGTCTCTGTTCCATTGTAACACAAGATTGAACTGTGGTAGTACACCATTATTGTTTTTGCAAATTTGTATATATCTTTATTTTATTTGGGGGGGTCGCGAAAAAAATCACAATCATAAATGGGGTCGTGAATAAAAAAAGTTTAAGAAGCCCTGGGCTATATCATTCTAAATTTTGATGCACCTTGGTGAAAAATGTAGCGTTACGTAAATCAACAAGCATAGCTTCCTGATTCAGGTGACTTGATTTCTTCGTGATAACTTCGTGATTCATGTGAAAAAGCTTAGCTCTTACTATAATCGAAGCTCGTTTATTGCGACTCGTACAGTACGTTCAGTACACAGTTAAAATTAATCGTCCCATTACTGGTATCTGTGGATTTTTTTAAAAACCTAAAGGTTTTTGGGTTTTTTCAGTAACTTATCACACAAAGAACAGTTATTGATATAGGCTTTATTAATGTGGAAAATGCATTTCGGGTCTTAATGACCCTTTTCAGTTCTTATTTTTTACAAAAGAAATAATAGATGTAATTTATATCACATATTATATAGAGATAATATATATTTTTTTTAATTTTCTTTTACTTACATAGCTGATTATTAATTACAAGTTGAAATTAAAAATTGGGCAATTGACTGGATAAAATTTGTTTAAAAAAGGGTGCTGCATGAAATAAAATTAAAATAGATAAGTAAAACAATATTAAATAAATAACATTAAAAATTTCTTAAACTTTTTGTTATAAAATAAAATAAATTGATATTTTCCGTAGATAGGTAAAAATTACCAGGGGTATACAGAAAGATTCAATCATGGAAACTTGCTTCAAGCTTCGTCAGAGAAAATGTATGGAGAGCCTACGAAGTTACTTTGCAGCTTACATCCAAAAAAGTTGCTAATCACTGATCTAAATCATCATTAGCTGAGATATAAAAACGTTTTAGCTTTAATCATGTCAAAAAAAGCTGAAAGAGGAGACCAATTTCTTATGAAAGACTAATGAAAGCATGAATAACAGGAACAGTGGAACATCGAGAGATCGAATATTGTAATCAAGATCAACCCTAGGCAAATATTTCACTCAGAATACTACAAATACCTATGTACAAATTTTTCTCTGCGATCAACCTTGTCATATAGACATCTATAGGTATATTATATAGTATTCAGCAAGCACCAGATAAACTCTCTTGTGGGCGAACGGAAATTTTCACTTTGGAAACAGTCTCTTTTTATAAATAAACCAACGTGTTTATTTTTTTATTCTGTCGAAATTTACGCAACATTAACCTTTTAATTAACACCGGGTACGTCACAATTAGCGTGGAGTTTGCGCACGCCACCACTCGAGTTTGACAGCAATTTGAATAAATCGCAAATCCTACAATTATCTTTATCTGTATATAGTATTAATTTAAAAGTGGACTATATTAGTACGGTGAGAAAAACAACTTTTATATAATTTTAAACAATTTACAATTCTTACCTATAATTAGAAAGGGTACACATCCAGCAGTAACCACAAACGGTATATTAAAATACATGACCAATCCAAATGACGAAGCCAAAGACATTCCTCCCGATATCAATGCAATGACTCCGATCCAAGGTTTGCTCTCGATCCAACTGTTATACAGACAAGTCAGCATTGAAAAGATTACTACTGCTAACATTGAAATCGGAAGTTGAGGAAGTAAACGATACAAGACTTTAAATAGTTCCTGTTCCATTGTAATCGACGTGGTTCGATAAACGGTTATATGCTGAAAAGTACTTGATTCAATACGATCCAAAAACAAATTTTGCCATTCTTCTACTCTGTTTCTTCCAATACTCGAATCATCATTAAAGTAGTAAACGAGTCTCAACACTTTCGCGCTTTTCACGTAATCTTCTGGAGTTTTTTGTACACCTCCTAAAAATAAACTGTTCAGTTGATACTCGTATCGACTTATTTCGTGTAAAGGATATTTAATAGTATAAGTTTTGTTTTCTATCATTTCCACTTCATTCTGCATGAATAAAATAGAATTCTCGAAGCATCTTTTGTTATTTCGTGCGCACAAATCTTTGTATGTGAAATTGTCCGCAGTTTTTATATTTTGAATAATTTCATCTAATTGAATAATTTCTCGAAATACTTTTTTTCGAAGCATTGATCCTTCATCTTTGGCTGATACTAGGACTACTGCTATATTTGGTTCTCTGTTCATCCTTCCCATGTGTGCATCAGAAGATAAATTCATTGGAAATAGTCTTGCTATAACTTCTTCTTCTTTAACATGTCTGGTATTCTTGGGTTCAAATAAATATTTCATGTTCCTTTCATCGTGCCACTTGTGAAGACCCGTAGCTAATACCATGGATACAAACAGTGGAACGACGATAAAGTAAATAGGATTTCTACCAACACGTAATCCTAACTCTTTCAGCTTCTGCGATAAGTATATACTCGGATACTTGAGTTTCATTGCGAATCTGGAAGAAAACTGAAACTATTTATATGAACGTTTTATTAATGGAAATATCTATAAGTATATAATAAAAATAATAAAAATTAAAAAACTTTGCAATGGATTCGAAATTACTTTTATTAATACCGGTAACTATATAAAATTGTAGAAGAAAACCTCTGCCTCTTCCGACTTCAGAAGTAATTTAAAAAACATCCAAAGGATACTTGAAAAAGAACAGTTACTTTAATTATTAAACATTACCATACAATTATAATTTAAAGACATTGTTTCAAACTGACAATGCTTCGGCCTCTCCAGTGACAATTATACACTTCTATCTCAACATGCATCAATATTAATGCCATTATTTAAATGAATATTACAGTATTTACAATTTTCTTCTTTAACATAGCAAAAAGTTGTTTTCTTTTTCTTTTAATAATAATTTTTTATTTAAACAGCATATTTTATATTATTTATATTAATGTTAGTAATGGCTTCACTACAATGAAAATAGCATAGTGAGGTCATAATCAGGCCTTATTTTAAGGTTTGTTTCCTACTGCACAAATATTTTTTTTTTTTTCTTTGCGTTAATAAGCTGTTTTAAAAATCATAAATAGAAAATAAGGACAATAATACAAATCTTATATTTGTATAATTATTTATTAGTTTCAAATACCGTTTAATTTTAATAGTTACATATTTGCAAAGAGCACTGTGCCCCTCCATATGATATAATTTACGATTCGATAAGTGTACTGTGGTTGAGGATTATAGTATTAAATGATAATATTAATGTTGCGGCTGCGTAAAAAATATCTATTATATATCCTGGATACAAAAGGTAAATCTTACCAACATTATTTCCGTAGCTCTTTTTTCGTGTACCGAAAAAAAAATACAATAAACCACGTGTAAATCGGAATCTCACGTTATCGAATATATTTCCGTTTTGGCATGTTTTCGCTTCTAACAGGTTCCCTTTTAACATAAAAAATCGCTTCGGTTCGAAGAATTTTCTAGCCTTTAGGATAATTTCATTTTTATTCGGGTTCCGTTTTAGACAGATTTTTCCGTACATTACGAAATTTGGGTAAATATATTAACATTAAGATAACAAGAAGAAACAAATACTTATAAAACCCAAAATTGGAAAAGTAATTACTGCATAAATGCAGAATTTCCACTGCATAATTCAAAATTTTCTATACACATTTTGTGTCCATGCTCCGGCGATAATACCTAATCTAATAGTCGTTTGAAGCACGTTTAATCATTTTTCCAGTTTTTTATATCTTTTCTTTTAATAATATTTTTATTATTTTCATTATATATAGTTTTTTTTTTAATTTTTAACAAACAATATTATTTAAAATTAATAGAGTTTTTATATTACATAATTTTTTATATTTACAGAATTGATATTTTTATGTATTTTTCTGTTTCAAACTGAAGTTTTTCATGTAGTATGTTAGCCAATTCATTTCTTTTTTTGCTGAAATTATATTAATATCATAAAATGAGAAAGTATTCTTAATATATCGGGCATATGGTTTGGGAAGTCTTGACATTTACAAAGTCTCGGGACACGAGACAACCCACGATCAAAATCCAGGGACGTCCCGGGACTTCGAAACTTCTCAGAATAAAATTAGAATCGAGTTCATTTTTGGCGAGATGTATCAATAAAAAAGCAATTTTAGTAAAAATCAATATTTATTGAACATAAAATCAAATCCTAATATTTATAACGTTAATAAAGTCTGAACAGTTCGTATGTTTAATTCTTATAATCATAAATTCATTTTTTGGCAGTGAAATCTTAAAATTATAAAACCAACTTAGTAATCATACTAATCATTAATAATCATCACCTAGTTTCTATTCATTAGTCATATAAATAATATAATAAACTATCAATTAGACATATTTTCTGATTTAATAAAATAGGCATTTAAAAACATCAGAGAATTTACAGTTTGTCCGGCAATCTGTTTCTGATTTTTGTAATAATGCCTCCGGACAAGGAGAACACACTCGTTTTCAACAGATGTCGGTTTTATTGTGTTTAAAGCTTTATAAAATAGTTTCAAACTTTCAGTACGTTTTCCGGTTTCTTCAAATAACTGGAACTCCTTTTTTAATGCTGCTCTTGATCTTTTTGCAAAAATTTCGGATACATTTTCTTCGATTTTTTGATTGCCTGTTCCACTTGACTTTGAAACGACTCATCGGGTTCGTTGTGTACTGTAGAGCTACTGGTACTGGGTTCGGCGTCCATTATTTTCAAATCTTGCGTTTGGATACGAGGGATATTTTCAAAAAGTCTGTAATGCAGATCTTCCGCAAAAGCAATAAGTGCAGTTTTATTCAAATTCGAAGTAAAATAATCCGTATTTTGCGACTGAGCTGTGGTGGCCAGTGTGCAAATATTTTAACGAACATTTAACAGAGTAAGGTTAAAAGTCACACGGCCTTGTAAATTACCCCCATCTATGTTGTTTATTTGTAAACAGGAGGGAGAACAAAGGAAGCGTCGCTCGGCTAACCTTTTGAAAATAAAATTTCGAAAATACAATTTCGATAAGCGTGTCTCGAGTCTTGACCCGAATGTCCCGGGACCCGAGACAATTAAATTTAGAAAAAGTCCCGGGACTTCGAGACACAAGACGTCCCAAGACGCAAACCCTAATCGGGCATAAAATTTCATATTTTTCAAATTAGCAATTTTACATTCAGACTGGGACGTATACATTTCTGTTAATTTAAAATCTACAACCGTCCTCGTCGATATTCCATTTACTTGGCTGTAAAATGCATTATAAACACGAAAAAGAAATTATTTATATCTGCTTTAATAATGAAAACTTATGTTTATTAAAATATGTTCTTAATCTAAATATATAAAATTGCTTGTCCTGACTGACTGACTGACTGAGTCACTCACTCACTGATTCATCATCGCCCAGAGCAAACCGCTTAACCTAAAGAGGTAAAATTTAATTTTTCGAAATTCCTCCGCGGGGGGAGAAGGAGAGGATTAAGGCTTAACTGGAAGAACGGCTTCTACTGTACTATTTTAGATGCGATTTTTTGTTATTATCTGCGTTTTATAGGGTACGCCATGGCAATGCACACTAAGAAGGGATTTTTCGAAATTCCCCCGCGGGAGGGAGAGGGAGAGAATTTAGTCTTAATCGAGTACTTAGGTGTATTAAATTAATAACATTTCAGACATTGTTATACATATTTTTATACTAGCTGCAAGGACCCGCTTTGCTGGGTTTTTATTTGTTCGTACATTTGTATGTAATATAGTTTTTTTTATATATAAAAGACTGTTTTTCTAAGTAATGTAGAATCTAGCACTTACTAAAACACCTTTTCTTGCAGCCGACGCTTTATTTTAACGACTTTCAAACGTTTTCGATCTTATTAAAAGACCTTTCTCAAGAAAATAAAATTAACTAAGTAACAAAATAAACAACATAATCGTAAATCGAACGCAGGAGCAGGAG